CGCCAGGAGCGGGGGGCCCAACGCTGACCCACGAATTCCGCGCGGACCTCCTGAAGTACGTGCTTGCGCAGTTCTTTGTTCCTCTGTCTGCTGAACCCTGCTGGACTGGCAAGCTGCTGGTGTATTCCGCCCACGGGCGCACGCCAGCCCCTCCATCGGAGGAGGGCCAGGCGATACAACGACGAACAAGCGTAAGAGAGCGAATACGGTTCTCAACTCGGGTATGCTTCCTGGCGCTGCAGGACTCCAGCAGCCCTGCACGTAACCTCGACGCTCGAGCGCGTTGTGTCAAAAAGCCACAATGGCCTCATGAGTGCTGGCCCCTCCATCGGAGGAGGGCCAGGCGATACAGCGGCGGTGAGACATCGGCGGCCCCGCCGCCCAGCCCACATCCGCTCCAACTGGGTCCCCCGACCCCTCCCGATGTCCAAACGCGCCGGTCTTCCGAGCCGCGTCCAGCCGCGGCGGCCAGGAAGCGGAAGGAGCAGCAGGCCAGGCCCAACGCCATCATGAATGTTTTTCGGCAGCATGCCCGCTCGGACCCCGCGAGCCATTTCGGAGAGATCATGTGGCCGGTGACCAATCGGCGCCAAGGCTTGCCGTTACCAGAAGGGCCCCATCGGTTCCTGATTCAGCGCTCCTTGTGGTAGCACGATGGTGATGATGGTGGTGGTGATGATGGCGATAAGGATGATGATGATGATGGTGATGGTGCTGGTGATGGTTGTGGTGATGACGATGATGATGCTGTTGATGCTGATGACGGTGTTGATGACGGTGATGGTGATGGTGATGATTATGATGATGTTGATGTTGATGATGATGATGATGATGATGATGATGATGATGATGATGATGATGATGATGATGGTGCTGATGGTGATGAGAAGGTGGTTGTTGTTGATGATGCTGGTGTTGATCCTCATGATGATGATGACGATAGTGATGCTGATGATGATGACGATGCTGACAGTGATGGTGATGATTATGATGATTGTAATGATGATGGTGATCATACAGATGATGGTGATGATGAGTGTGATGATGGTGGTGATGATGGTAATACAGGTGGTGGTGATGATGCTGATGGTGGTGATGGTGATGATGATGGTGATGATGATTAAGATGGTGATGGTTATGTTTGTGACTATTACGATGATGACGATGCTGATGCTGATGATTATCGTGATGATGGTTGTGGTGGTGGTTATAATGATGATGATGATGATGGTGGTGGTGGTGGTGATGTTGATGGTGATGGTGATGGTGTTGATGGTGATGGTGTGGTGATGCAGACGATGACGATGTTGAAGCTGCTGACGATGATGCTGATGATGATGATGCAGACGATGATGATGATGCTGATGATGATGCTGATGATGATGGTGGCGGTGGTGGTGGTGGTTTTGGGAGGGGGGGTCGGGGTGGGGGTGGGGGTGGTTGTAGTGGTGGTGGTGGTGGTGGTGACGATGATAATGATGACGATGATGATGCTGATAATAATGATGATGCCCATGATGACGATGAATAATCATATGCGGATGTTGATGATGATGTTGATGATGAGGATGACGATGATGCTGATTATAGTGACGATGGTGATGAGGATGATGATGCTATGTTGATGATGATAATGCAGATGATGATGATGATGATGATGCTGGTGCTGATGCTGATGCTGATGATGATGCTGCTGATGCTGCTGATGATGCTGCTGATGATTATGAGGATGCTGATGATGATGATGATGATGATGATGATGATGATGATGATGATGATGATGATGATGATGGTGGTGGTGATGGTGATGGTGATGGTGATGGTGATGGTGATGGTTATGATGATGATTATGATGAAGGTGGAGATGAATATTGGAGAGGCCTGACGGCCGGTGCCGCCGACCCTGATCGAAAGGGCTAGGAGTGGGGGGAGGAAGCGGAGGAGGAGGAGGAAGAGGAGGAGGAGGAGCAGGAGGAGGAGGAGGAAGTGGAGGAGGTGGAGGAGGAGGAGGAGGAGGAAAAGGAGGAGGAGGAGGAGGGAGGAGGAGGAGGAGGAAGTGCATCCTTTGTGTGCCCGCTCGAAGAAAGTGCGCCCCGGGAGTGTGATATTCTGACTTGGGACGTGCTCCCGGAAGAGGAAGAAGTGCATCTCGGGCGTGCCCGCTCGAGGAAAATGCGCCCTAGGGGGGTGGTATTTTGACTCGGGGCCCGCTCCCGGGACGCCTCTGCGGGAGGAGGAGGAGGAGGAGGAGGAGGAGGAGGAGGAGGAGAGGAGCAGGAGGAGGAGGAGGAGGAGGAAAGGAGGAGGAGGAGGACCAGGAGGAGGAGGAAGTGCATCCCGTGCGTGCCCGCTCGAGGAAAGTGCGCCCCGGCGGGAGTCGTATCTGCCCCGGCCCCCCCAACCCCCTCCCCCCCCCCCCTGCGGGGAAGGGATCAAAGGGAAGGGACTTCCCTTCGACTCCACTACGACGTCGTTTAATTTCGCTTTGGATAGCGCGCTTGAGGAGGAGAGCCCTGGGAGGGGGAGAACGGAGACGACGGAGACGACGAGTCGAACGGAGAAGCCCCTCACACACGCCGACAGGGTCGGCGGATTAAGATGAAGATGAAGATGGTGGTGGTGGTGATGCTGATGGTGGTGATGATGATCATGAGGATGAGGATGAGGATGATGATGCTGATGATGATGATGATGATGATGATGATGATGATGATGATGATGATGATGATGATGGTGGTGGTGGTTTTGGGAGGGGGGGGGTCGGGATGGGGGTGGGGGTGGTTGTAGTGGTGGTGGTGGTGGTGACGATGATGATGAAGACGATGATGATGCTGATAATGATGATTATGATGATGCCCATGATGAAGATGAATAATCATATGCGGATGGTGATGATGATGATGATGGTGTTGATGACGATGACGATGATGCTGATTATGGTGACGATGGTGATGAGGATGATGATGATGATGCTATGTTGATGATGCTAATGCAGATGATGATGATGATGATGATGATGATGATGATGATGATGATGATGCTGATGCTGATGCTGGTGCTGGTGCTGATGCTGATGCTGATTATGATGATAATGATGATGATGCTGTTGATGATGCTGCTGCTGATGATGATGCTGCTGATGATGATGATGATGATGATGATGATGATGATGACGATGATGATGACGGCGGTGCTGAATATTCAGATGAAGATGAAGATGAAGATGACGATGAAGATGAAGATGGTGGTGGTGGTGGTGATGCTGATGATGGTGATGATGATGATGATGATGATGATGATGATGATGAGGAGGAGGAGGAGGAGGAGGAGGAGGAGGAGGAGGAGGAGGCGGAGGCGGAGGCGGAGGAGGAGGAGGAAGAGGAGCAGCAGCAGCAGCATCAGCAGCAGCATCGGCATTCTATACTACAATGCCGGGAACAGTGCGTGTGAGAAAGGTTTCTGCGTCGAGTGCTCTTTGGCGGCTCCGAGCCGCTGAAGTGGGTGCCCCGACGGCCTCACGACGGCTCCGAGTCGCTCCAGAGGCCACCCCGACAGCCCCAGGGGCGCTCCGAGCTGCTCAAGAGGACGCTCCGACGGCACCAAGGGCTCCCAGGGCGGGCCAGGAGCTTCCGAAGACGGCACTCCAGGATTCCCCAGGACAGCGCCGAGACGCAAAAGTCGCCCCATTCCCCATGGCCCTTCGGAGAAATGGCATTTTTGGCATTTTCGTGCTTTTCGTTTCCGACGCGTCCACGAGACCACAGAGCCCCACATACCTCCCCAAGATCGGCCCCAGATGCCCCCATCAGGGCCCCAGAAAGGGCCCACGACGGCCCAAGAAGTACCCAAGACGGCCCCAGAGGCACCCAAGACAGCCCCGAAGACGGCCCAATAGGCGCCCACGACGGCCCACGACGGCCTGGAAATCACCCAAGACAGCCCCAAGAGCCGCCCAAGACGGTCTGAGACGGCCCCCAGACGGCCCAAGACGCGCCCAAGACGGTTCCGAGACGGCCCAAACGGCACCGACGAGAGCCCAAGAGGGCCCCAAGAGGCCCCTTCGAAGCCGAAACAAATCCGTAAGAGGCCCCCACACGGCCCCCAAGAGGCCCTAAGTGGCTACAGAGCTGCCTCTAACAGAGAGGGGGCGGACGAAAGGTGAGGGGCAGAACGCAGGCCTCAACAGCCGTTTTCGATGCTCCGAGGGTCTGCGATTGACGATCCGAGATCCAGGGCATGCAGGATCGAGGCAAGAAGGCGGGAGGAGGAGGAGGAGTAGGATGAGGCGGGGGCGGAGGCGGAGGAGCAGGAGCAGGAGGAAACCCGAGAAAGCCCAGAAGAGAGCCTCATGACTCATGAGGGTCCATATGACGTACGGAGCTCAAAACGTGGCCCAATACGGCCAAAGAGGATCCCAGACGGCCCAAGAGGGTCCCAAAAGGTCCTGAGGAGGCCCACAAGAGGACCTGAGAGGCCCTTAACCCCCCAAGAGGCCCAAAGAGGTTTCAAAACTGCCTCCAAGAGAGGTGGCCTGGCGCTCCTGACACGCCCGAGCGAGCTTCGCCTTCAATAGAACTTCAACAAAACGACCTCCCCAACATAGCGGAGCTCGTCCGACACAACGGCAGCTTCTTTTAAGATCTTACTGCATTTCACACCCTCTTGAAGCTCTCCGGGGCCCTCCCCCGATATCCTCGCGAGCCTCCCCGGCGCTCCCGGTGGCTGGCCCCGAGGGCCTCCGGAGCCCTTCCCGGGGCGCTCCTGAGACGCCTCAGATGGGCTTCGACTTCGATGCACATCCCCGAGAAACTTCGAAACTGCCTTCAACAAGCCGTGCGCCGGGGCCAAGCTGCTGGAGCGCTGCTCGGGCACGAAGGCGCGATCTCGGTGCTGCCGCCCCCGCCGTCCCCGTGCTTACAGGTTTTCGGCAAGATCTCCGCCGTTCCTCCGAGAACCATTCCAGAAAGATGTCGTGGACGGAGTCCACGGGTCAGCCCTAGTCAGCTACAATGCCGGGATCAGCGCGTGCGAGAAGGGCGGCCAGTGGCAGCAGGCGCTGTCGCTGCTTGGCGAGCTGCGAGGAGCGAGGCTTGCCGTCATCGCCGTCATCGCCGTTGTCGTCGTCGCCGAGGTGGAGAGGGAAGGGAGAAGGAGGGAAGAGGAGGAGGAGAAGGAGGAGGAAGTGGAGGAGGAAGGGCGGAGGAGGAGGAGGAGGAGGTGGAGGAGGAAGGGCGCAGGAGGAGGAGGAGGAGGAGGAGGAGGCTGGAGGAGGAAGAAGATCACCATATTGAACCCAGGATGCATCCACGATAGTGCAATATGCACTCGCATCCCAAATCACCTCCTAATAGAAGTCGAGAGCCCCATTGTGCAAGGGAACGGCTATCCGAGGCTGTTGCAAATTGGTGTGCGACGAGCGTGCGCGGCGCCAAAGAGAGAGACCCACTTTGAAATCGACCAACCCTGTATCCGTAAAACTGTTGGAGCTTTTCCCCACATGCTAATGGAGCTTACTCCCAACCATACTGTGGTGTTGGGTCCTTGTTTTGAAGAGAGACAGCGCCCCGCGTCTCCTCCTCTCCTCCTCTCCTCCTCCTCCTCCTCCTCCACCTCCTCCTCCTCCTCCTCCTCCTCCTCCTTCTCCTCGTCCTCCGCCCTCCTCCCCCTCCTCCCCCCTCCCATTCCTGTCTCTGCTTTCCGAGAGCCATCATCATCATCACCATCGTCATCGTCATTGCACCCCTCACACGGTTCGTGGCCCCATAGGGAGCTCCACCGAAGGCCCCAGTGGGACGGTCCGCATGGCACCGCCGCCCCATTTTGGCGCATCCCTCACGCGGTCCGTGGCCCGATAGGGAGCTCCGCCGAAGGCCCCAGTGGCTGGGTCCGCATGGCACCGCCGATTCTTTTTGGCACACCCTTCACATGGTTCGTGGCCCCCTAGGGAGCTCCACCGAAGGCCCCAGTGGGAGGGTCCGCATGGCACCGCCGCCCGATTTTGGCGCACCCCTCACACGGGTCGTGGCCCCATAGGCAGCTCCACCGAAGGCCCAAGTCGCAGGGTCCACATAGCGGCGCCGCCCCATGTTGGCGCACCCCTCACAAGTTTCGTGGCTCCAGAGGGAGCTCCACCGAAGGCCCCAGCGGCAGGGTCCACGTGGCTGCGCCGCTCCATACATGGTTCGCGGCCCCATAGGGAATTCCACAGAGGCCCCAGTGGAGGAGTTCGCACGGCGGTGCCGCCGACTTTTGGCGCACCCTTCACACGGGTCGTGGCCCCATGCCATAGGGAGCTCCACCGCAAGCGGCGCCACAACACGGTACTCACAATTGCAGATGTTCGGGTCTTTCGTCAGGATCATGTTTTTCCCGTTCGCGTAGCACCGGCGTTCACCTCCGTTCTTCTCTTCCTCTTTCCTCCCTCACCTTATCGCTTCAGTCTCGCCACAGTGTGCATCATACATGCACGCACACACTTACAGCCGCGCGCACGCACACCACATAAAGCTAGTACAAAGCTGGCGTGTTCGTTGCATCGTACACACCGGACGCATGCAACACATACATGGCACTCACATGAGGCACACGCCCACATAGAGCCGAATGCACACACGCACACTATACACATATACAAGACACACACGCTACACATACACAAGACACACAGACGCAGACCTGCTCGCATGACACGCACACTACACAATACATGCGCGTAGGATTTGCAGGACGTGGCACTTCCTCGAAACCAGGGTGGGTGCGCCAGGGGCCGTCCCTGACCCTAGAGGGGGTGCGCAGGGCGTGCGGCCTCTATGCGTTGCCGGCTCGCAGGGCGTGGCAGGCGGTTCCTCCTGCCGCTCTCTCTCTCTCTATCTCTCTCTCTCTTTTTCCCCCTTTCTCTCTCTCTCTCTTTCTTTCTCTCTCTCTCTCTCTTTCTCTTTCTCTTTCTCTTTATATTTTTTTTTTCTCTCTCTCTCTCTCTCTCTATCTGTCTTTCTCCTTCTCTCTGGCTGCTTGTTTTTCCAACCATTCTGTGGTGTTGGGTCCTCGTTTTGGAGAGACAGCGCCCCGCGTCACTCCTTCTCTCCTCCTCCCCCTCCTCCCTCCTCCCCCTCTTTTCATCTGCCCTCTGCATGCTGGTGTTTGGGCATACCCCTCACACGTTTCGCGGCCCAATAGACTCCACCGAAGGCCCCAGTGGCAGGGTTCGCATGGCACCACCGCCCAATTCCGGCACACCCCTCACACATTTCGCGGCCCCATAGCTCCACCGAAGGCGCCAGTGGGAGGGTTCGCATGGCACCACCGCCCCCTTTCGGCACACTCCGCCCCATAGGGAGCTCCACCAGGCGCCAGCCACTGGGAGGGTTCGCATGGCACCACCGCCCCATTCCGGTACACCTCTCACACGCTTCGTGGCCCCATAGGGAGCCCCACCAGGCGCTAGTGGGAGGGTTCGGCACACCCCTCACACGTTTCGTGGCCCCATAGGGAGCTCCACTTAAGCGTCGCACGGCACCACCGCCCCATGTCCGCACACCCCTCACACGCTTTGCGGCGGCCCCACCGCAGGCCCCAGTGGCAGGGTTCGCATGGCACCACCGCCCCATTTCGGCACACTCTTCGCACACTTCGTGGCCCCATAGGGGGCTCCACCTAAGGCCCAAGTGGGAGGGTTCGCATGGCACCACCGCCCCCTTTCGGCACACTCCTCGCACGTTTTGCGGCCCCGCAGGGAGCTCCACCGAAGGCGCCAGTGGAACGGTTCGCATGGCACCACCGCCCAATTTCGGCACACCCCTCACACGTTTCGCGGCCCCATAGGGAGCTCCACCGAAGGCGCCAGTGGCGATTTCCGCGTGCGTTTCCCCCACCCTGTACAGCGCTTCGTGGCCCCATAGGAGCTCCACCGAAGGCCGCAGTGGCGGTGTCCGCACGCGTTCCCTCCATCCAGTACAGCGCGTCGTGGCCCCAGGGGGAGCTCCACCAAACGCTTCAGAAGCGGTGTACGCATGCGTCCCCCCACCCAGTACAGCGCTTCGTGGCCACAACCAACGGCCCCAGAGGCGGTGTCCGCATGCGTGTCCCCCACCCAGTGCAGCGCATCGTGGCTCAATCGGGAGCTCCACCGAAGGCCCCGGTGGCGGTGTTCGCATGCGTGTTCCCCACTCAGTACAGCGCTTCGTGGCCCCGTAGGGAGCTCCATCGAAGGCCTCAGTGGCGACGTTCGCATGCGTCCCCCCCGCCCAGTACAGCGCTTCGTGGCCTCGTTGGGAGCCCCACCGAAGGCCCCAGTGGCGGTGTTCGCATGCGTCCCCCCGCCCAGTGCAGCGTTTCGTGGCCGCGCAAGGAGCTCCGCCGAATGCTTCAGTGGCGACGGTCGCATGGCGGCCCTGCTCCATTTCGGCACACCCCTCACACGTGTCGCGGCCCCATGTGGAGCGCCACCCAAGGCCCATGGCTGCGCCCGCATGCGTCCGCGCCCCATGTCGGCACACCTCTTACACGCTTTGTGGCCCCATAAAGAGGTCCACCGAAGGCGATACCCACAACGGCGATCTTCACAACTGCATATGGCGGGGCCCACCGCCAGGATATTCTTCGGAGTGGGCGACTCCAGTGCACGACATGCCATCGGACAAGACGAATTTCGACTCGATGTTGTTGGTGGCGATTCTGTGGATTTGTCCAGATGCCCACATCGAGGGCGCGCTAATTTTTCTGTCCGCTCGTCGTCCCTTCAGCTTTCCTCCTCCTTCTCCAAAACAGAAGGAGGAGGAGGAAAAGGAGGAGGCGGATGATGATTCTGATGATGATGATGATGATGATGATGATGATGATGATGATGATGATGATGATGATGATGATACTGATGATGATGATGATGATGATGACGATGATGATGATGATGATGATGATGATGATGATGATGATGATGATGCTGATGATGATGATGATGATGATGATGATGATGATGATGATGATGATGATGATGATGATGATGATGATGATGACGAGGAGGAGGAGGAGGAGGAGGAGGAGGAGTGGGACATGGGCGAGGAGGAGGAGGAGGAGACGCCAGTGCAAACTCAAGACTAAAAACGCTGTTTGAATAAGCCCTCCCTCCAAGCTCCCTCTTCATGGGCCCGATACAAAGGTGGATTTTCACTGATGGAACTGCTTCACTGGGAGACAACCGTTTGAAGACCCTGAAGCATGCCAAAACACAATTTTCGGAATTCCAGCGCCACGGATTAGGTTGACTGTTGAGTCCTGACGATCCTGAACCGCGCCAGAACACCACTCCTGGGATTCCAACACCGCGAACCAACATAATGTTGCACCCTCACAATCACGAATCCTTTCAAAGCTCCATCTCTGGCACGTTGACCATGGGAATCCGCGAAGTTCCCGCAAGGTTAAAAAAACGAATCCGCGCAGTGCTAAGGCGAGAGTCACAGGTTGAATATGAACCGCCATCAATCCGTTAAACTCTTGTTTTTTTGCATAACGAATGCGCGCGGCGATAAGGCGAGAGCCACAGTTTGAAAGCCGCCCGCCCTCAGTCCGCAAAACTGTTGTAAGTTGTTGGTTAACGACTGTGCGTGGCGCTAAGGCGAGAGCCACATGGCGAAAACCGCCCGCCCTCAATGTGTGAAGCTCTTGCAGTGCTAAGGCGAGTGTGCGCGGCGCGAACTCAAGAGCCACAGTTTGAAAACCACCCGCCCTCCATGTGTGAAACCGTTGTTGGTTCTGAAGGTTCAAGATCATAGATGCTTGAGAAGTCTCAGGCGAAACGCCCGGCCCGCCCTTGCGACCAGCCTGGAAGTGCGACAAGGGAGGAGTTATGTATAAAGAAAAGGACTGGATGAGGAGGAGAACGGAAAAGGACGAGGAGGAGGAGGAGGAAGCGGAGGAGAAGGAGGAGGAGGAGGAGGAAGAGGAACGGGGGGAGGGAAGAGGAGGTGGAGGAGGAGGAGGAGGAGGAGGAGGAGGAGGAGGAGGAGGAGGAGAGGAGGTGAGGAGGAGAAGGGTTCGAGGCTGAAGGAGGAGGAGGCGGAGGAGGAGGGGAGGAGAAGAGGAGGAGGAGAAGGTAGAGGAGGTGGAGGAGGAGGAGGAGGAAGGGAGAGGGAACGGGTATCATGAGGCTGGAGGAGTGGGGGTGTGTAAGGGGATGAGGTGGAGGGGCGAGGCGGGAGTAGGAGGAGGAGGAGGAAGAGGAGGAGGAAGGAGGAGAGGAGGATGAGGTTGGAGGCAGGCGAGGCTGGATGAGGGAGAGGGGACAGAAGAGGAGGAGGAGGAGCAGGGAGGAGGGAGGAGGAGGGAGGAGGAGGAGGTGGTGGAGGGGAGGAAGGGAGAGGGAACGGGGAGTATGAGGCTGGAAGAGGTGGGGTGTGTAAGGGGATGGGTTTGGAGGAGCGAGGCGGGAGGAGGAGGGAGGAGAGGAGGAGGAGGAGAGGAGGAGAGGAGGAGGTTGGAGGCGGTGTTGGGCGAGGGAGGCTGGATGAGGGAGAGGGGGCAGAAGAAGAGGAGGAGAAGGAGGACGAGGAGGAGGAGCATGAGGGGGAGAAGGACGAGGGGGAGAGGGGGGGGGGGCGGGGGGTGATGCTGGAGGAGCTGTCCTGCCTGCCTGGGGACCCAGGAAATCTAGGGGGGGAGGTCTTGTGGCGTTTCGGGTTTCCCCCTTTCGACCCGGACGCCTGATTCCTCCAGCGTTGGAACCCTGGCCTCTCAAGGGCGAACATCTCGGTGCTTTGGGAGTTTGGCCCTCGTGTGCCTCACGCGATCTCTCTCTCTCTCTCTCTTTCTCTCGATCTCTCTCTCTCTCTCTTTCTCTTTCTCTCTCTCTCTCTCTTTCTTTACATATGAGGCCGGATGAGGAGAGGGAGTTGCGAGGCTAGAAGAGGCGCGGTCTCGAGGTTCGAGGAGTGGCCACGTCCGAGGGGTCGATTTCCCCTCCACCGGGGGATAATTTCGGCCCCGAGCCCCGAGCAGCAGAGACAGTGCACGGGTGGGGCAATCGAATTTCGCTGGAGCCGCAGATGCAGGCAAGAGGAGAGGAGCAGAGGGAGGAGAGGAGGAGAGGAGGAGGAGGAGGAGGAGGAGGGAGGAGGAGTCGAGGGGAGGAGGAGGAGGAGTCGAGGAGGAGGAGGAGGAGGAGGAGGAGGAGGTGGTGCCATGCTGGCGGAGGAGGAGGGGCGGGAGAGAAAGGGAGAGGAGGAGGAGGAGGAGGCGGAGGAGGAGGAGGAGGAGTAGGAGGAGGAGGAGGAGGAGGAGTGGACGACGACAACGACGACGACGACGACGACGACGACGGCAACGACCACGACGACGCGGAGGGCCTGTCCCATCAGGTTGGAGCCTGACACCATCAGCTTCAGTGCCGGAATCAGCGCGTGTGAGAAAGCTGGGCAGTGGCAAGAGGCGTTGTCATTGCTCAGGGACTCGCTGGAAGCACGATTGAGGGCAGACTGTTACAGCTACAGTGCAGGGATAAGCGCGTGCGATAAGAGTGAGCAATGGCAACGTGCGATGTTGTTGTTTATCGAGATGCAGGGAGCAAAGTTGAAGCTGGACACCTTCATCTACAATACTGCAATTCGCGTTTACGGGAATGGTTGGCTTGCGAGTTACAGCGATGGAATCGTCGCTGGATGGCAGCGGGCATTATCGTTGTTCAGAGAGTTGCAGGAAGTGCGGTTGGATCCAGACATCGTTAGCTACAATGCTTGCGCCAGAGTTTGCGGAGCAGCTTTTCTGTGGCAGCAGGCGCTGCTGTTGCTGAGCGAGTCGTGCAGAGCGAAGGTGGAGCTAGACGTCTTCAGCTTCGGTACAGGCATTTCTGCATGTGAGAAGGGGGGGCAGTGGCAGCGGGCTTTCTCGCTGCTCGGCGACATGTGGGAAACGAAGGTCGAACCTACCATCGCATGCTACAATGCTGGGATAAGCGCATGCAGCAAAGGGGGACAGTGGCAAGCAGCACTGTCGCTGTGGAGGGAGATTGCGGCGGTAACACTTGAGCCGGATGCTGTCAGTTACAGTGTTGGAGTGAGCGCGTACGGGGAGAGCGGCCAGTGGCAGGCAGCATTGTTGTTGTTCCGAGAGCTGGGCGCGAAGCTGCTGCCCGACGTCTTCTGCTACGATGCCGCAGCCACCGCGTGCGGAAAGAGTGGGCAGTGGCAGCATGTGCTGGCTCTGCTCAGCGAGCTGCGCGGGGCGGAGCTGGAGCCGCGCACCATTGTCGAAGAAGGCAATGGGGAACTGGTTTAGCGTGTCGCGCCGCCGATTCTGGCCTGCCGCGCTTCGGCCCAGCACGCTATCCACATCACAGCCCCGCCAGGGCATCAGTTTCCCGAGCCCTCCCGAGCTTGCCGCCTCGCGGAGCGGAGCGACACGCTATCCGCTTGTGAGGCATCGTGTGACGCTGGGGCCGCCGCGGCGGCGCGCCAAGCCAAAGTTCGCGACCATAAATCTTCGGAGGTCCACGCGGGTTTCTTGGATTTGCGCTGGACCCCCTCCCTGGCGCGCTGAGTGCGCCAGGGGCGGCGCCGGGAACGCTGCCAAGGGGGCGCCAGGGGCGATCCAAGAACTTCGCGAGGAGTTCCGAAAGCTTGTGTCTATGCCGTTGTGCCTTCTTCGGCATCAGCTACACTGTTGGGATCACCGCCTGCGAGAAAGCCCAGCATTGGGAGCAGGCGCTGGCGCTGCTGGGCGAGCTCCAGGACGCAGGGCTGGAGCTCGACGTCTTCAGCCTCAGCGCCGGGATCAGCGCTCACGGGAAGGCAGGACAGTGGCAGCAGGTGCTGCTGCTGCTCCGCCTCCACCTCCACCTCCTCCTCCTCCTCCTCCTCCTCCTCCTCCTCCTCCTCCTCCTCCTCCTCCTCCTCCTCTCACAGAAGGACGTGATACTGATCCCGCCGGGGGGTCTGATGGGATAGCGGCGTGGTTATATCTTGGAAGAACGCGTGTGTCAGGGGTTCAGGGGGTTGGGTTCGGGTTTCGGGTTCGGGTTCGGGGTTCGTTTTAGGCTCAGGTTGTCAGGGTTAAGATAGTCGGGTGTCAGGGTGGTTTGGGTTGAAGTGTGTGTGTGTGCGTGTGGATTTAGGGCGCCAGGGTGGTGGGCTCAGTGCGTACGATTAGTGTTGACTGTGTTCGGGTCAGTGCTCTAGGATTTTGAGTTGGTGTACGGTTCATGGTTAGGGTCAGGGTTTAGGGTTTAGGGCGTCTCGGCCCGCAGCGGCCCACAATCAAAGTTGATGCCCCCTCCCTTTGGGCAGGCTTGTTGGGGGCGGGCGTCTAGCCGACCCGATCAAGATTGCCAAATATGCAAATTTTGCGGGAGCAGCCGTCTTTTGAAAACGGCTCTTTGGAGAGGGCCAATGGCTTGCTTCTGGTTGGTTTTGCGGTGCGCAACTTCAGGGGCCATGAGCCCACCCTTGCGCAGAATGCTGCCCAAGTGCTTGTGAGCGTTGGGGAGGGAGGGGGCCCCAAACATTGGCAAGCGGAAGCCAGGCCCTCGCCTGCTGATTCAGCGAATGCCTCGCAAACACTGCGCCAGGCGGGACCCTTCAGAGAAACAAGAGCAGCGGTTCTGGTGGGCCCGAAATTCAGAGCGAAGCCAAGCTCGGCCGCAACCAGGTAAATGGCTTCAATCAGCAGAACAACGTGGGTCTCGATAGTTTTTTATTTGTCATAGGTCAGCATGGGAACAACGAGGTCGTCCATAAAGACGGCTTCTGACAAGAAAGCATCCTCCTGAACTTGGTCTCGGGCCAAGATCGGATGCGGGGGCGATCGAGCCAGACGGCGATGTCTCGGGCAGTCAGCTTGTTTCCGAGATCGCGCAGCATTGGCGAGAAGACGAGGCTGCAGACGAGGTCCACGAGGGGCCCTCCCCGTCGGGCACCCGCGCGGGCGGCGGCAAGGGCGGGGGCGCCCTGGAACGCAAACCACGCGCACTTGCGCGCGTCATTCAGCAGGTCCGCGACGTGAGCGTCGTTTACTTGGGCTTGGTCCAGAAACCGGATGGCCATCATGGCCCTGAGGACCGGCGCTGAAGCCTGGGGGGTCGGGGTGGCGGCCACAACCGCGCGGCGGCCATCTCCGCGCGCGCCCAGGGGCAAAGAATCTCGCGCACGTCCGTATAGAAGGCGGCATTGAGATGTGCGAAGGCCAGGAGGAGGAGCTGGAGGCGTAGGATACTCTGCTGCGTGGCGTAGGCCTGGAAGGCCCTCGCATTGTCGCCCGCGATGTCGGTCCCGCGACCCCTGCGGCCCCTGCGCTGAGTGCATAAGAGAAGAGCAATCGCGAGATCGTAGACTCGTTCTCGCGTGAAACGGTGATGACACTTGGCAGTGACACTCATGAGCAGAACCTGGTGATGGTGGATCGACAAGGATGGGGTGCCAGAGCCATCGTCGAGCGGGCGGGCCCATCCCCCAGTGAAAGAGAGGGGCTCCTTGCCGAGGGGCGAAACTTTAGCGATGAGGGGGTGAGCGAGGCAAGCGCGAGCACCAGGGGCGGCTTCGATCAAGTCCCCAGCGACGAGGTCGGCCCCCCCCGCCTTGAAACGCTCGTGGGGCACTAAGGGCTAAATTCTGAGCCAAGGCATCGAGGGACATCAGGCTGTCCTCGGAACGCTGCAACACGGAGGTGTGCGGGGGGGGCGGTTGGCGGGCGGGGCAGGGGCTTGCAGTGAGCCATGAGAGCTTTTTTAGACAAGGTGAGGGCGCACTCCTGCGAAGCGAAAAGCCCGTACACATCGGGGGTATCCAAAACATCACCTTGAGGATCCCAACGAGGGGCGAGGTGGGGTTGGTGGGTGGAACTTCCCCTGACGCCTCCCGAAGGCCAAAAGCGAGCCGATGCACTGCCGCTGAGCTCCCTGGTCGCCGGCTTTCGCTCGCTTGCTGAATTCCTCAGTCATGCTCTCGATATGAGCCACGCGATCCAATGTGAGCCACTTGGCCAGAACATATTTGCTGGCCTGGAGAAAGCTCGCGAGCTCCTGCTTCTGACCTTCTCCAGGCAGGCCGCGGCCGAGAAAGCAAGACGCACTTAGCTGAACACGGGCGAAACAGACGACGCCTCCTGAGCGCAGATCATTCACCTGAGGGTCCGAGGCCGTGAGCATGGCAGCAATGGAGACCAGGTCCTGAGGCTGGCGCTGGGGCTCCTGAGCGCTTCTCTTATGCATCGCCTGATTGCGAAGGCCTTGCGGCCAGTGCCGCGACCCTGGAGGCAAATGGGAGGGAGAGGGCGGGCCGGGAGGGTTGCATTCTGACCCTGGACCACCCCTCAGGACCCCCCCCCGAGAGCCCCACCCCCCGGGACCCCCCGCCCGGGACCCCCCCCCCCCGGGACCACACCCCGGGACTCCCCTGCCATCTCCGAGGGGAAGGGGTCAAAGGGAAAGGGCTTCTATTCGACTCAAATGACAACGTTGCTTCCTTTCGCCGTGGATGGGCTGGTGCATTTCGCTTTGGCTGGCGTGCTTGAGCATCGCCTGATTTGAATCAGCCTCTGAGCGCCTCTGGACGCGTAGGGCTCGCGGGGCTGACGGCGGGGCGGGGAAAAAGCCTGCAGGGCGGCGCTGACAATCTGATCCGTGACGGCATCACTGTGGGCGGTGGGGTCAATTCCATAGGGGGCCATGAGGGTGCGAAGCAGCGCCGATGCGACAACTTGCCGGCAACTGGGGTTAGCCAAAGAAGACCTGTCAAAACCCATCGGGGGTGGTGCTTCCGCTGGGCGAACCACTGGAGATAAGCATGCACAGGGTAACGGTAAAACATGGAGCGCATGGGATCTGAATTATGCCAAACCCCGTGACGCGCGACAGTCTGATCCAGGTCAGCAGAGAGGATGATGATGTAATCGGTCCTGCGAGGAGAACGAGTCGGTCTTAGGGGCCCTCAGGGTCGTGAGCGTTCGGAGCGAGAGCTCCGCGACGGTATCGCAAAGTTCGCGCCCGCTGTCGTCCAAAACTTGGGCAAAGCCAAATCCCTCACACCAGCAGTTTCGGGCTCCAGGCCCACCCGTCCTTTGGCGTCGATCATGGCACAGTGAGGGGGGCACCTAGCCAGCAAGCGATGGGTTTCTTCCCACCTGGTTTTTCTGACCAGCGGGGGGGGGCTTTGCTACGCAGCGCGTGAAGCACCCAGGAAACTGCGCTGAGAGATGGGGCGAACATCTGAAGACCGAGGCGGCGAGGGTCGAAGTGGAGACGGCTGGCATGGGCAGGCTTGAAGAATAACTGTCCTCTTTCGAAGCTCGCATGCGGTACTTCGGTATTGATCCAGGGTTCGCATCCGAGGTTTCCTTGCTGGCCTCCAGAGGCCAGGACGAAACAGTCACCGGCCTGGCGCTTGCCAGCTTTCGCGCGAGCCTCCTGAGCCCCCACAGCATGAGTCCCTTTCTCACGTGACTGGGTGCGGAGCAGGGGTCCCTTTGCTTGTTGGTGGCGTCTCGCGAGAGCTCTGGTAGAGTCTCACACACCGAAAGGACGTTGTAAGTAGCGATGCCTGGATTGAAGCCCGTGGTGCCCGCGCTGACGTGGCGTGCCGTCGTGGCCAGGAGTCGGCCTGAGGCGATCGGCGTCGGGCCCGCCCTGGATCGCCTGAGCTCTGGAAGCCTGCCTGAGAATGGGCCGCCCTCTGTCGGGCGGGACAGGAGCGGCGAGGGCCTGGGGCCTGTGACGGGTGAACGGTGAACACAAACACTGAGGTGGACCGTGGGCCACTTGCTGCACGGGCGGGCAGGCCTCCCGATCTTCCTCAGGCAGCTCTGGGATCCAGGACCAGCAGCCTTTTGAGGGGGGTGCCAAAACGGCAAATACATGATCGGGGATAAAACACCCCCCCCCACCCCTCGAGCAGCCATCTCATTCCAAGGATGGTCTCTGTGGGCGGCGACGTGGTAGAGCAAGATTCTGCCCGCGGACGTGTGGGTGCTGACAAGTTGCCTCACCGCACGCCCCAGCGGTGGGTGAAGTTGGCAGGAGCGGCGCCCGGCCGCGACGTCGAGGGCCGCGAGGGAATCGGAACCCGGGGTCGCAAGCAAGTGTGGGGCGTGGAGGGAGACATAGAAAATGGCCCACAAGGTGGCCGTAACCTCGGGGTCCTGACTAGAAAAGGCACTCGGCATCCCTGGGAAGGAGCCCTCCACCCCCACCCCCACAAGGCTCTTCCGAAGTGCGTGCTCCTCCGAACGCTTTACCAGACCAGGACAAACGACCAGCCACACTCGGTGTGATCTCCTGGGAAAAGGGAGCCGTCAGTAAATATATGGAGGGCACACTGGGGCTTGGGAGAGGCGAGGAGCAGAGGCAAGGGCGATTTGGGCACAGGGATGGAGGCCAGATGGTGACATGGTGCCGGCATCAAATTCCACAGGAAGCAAGCCCTTGAGCTGCGCAATGTCGTGGTCCAACTCGTGTATACTCGGCATCGGGTACACGATGCGGTCTTTAGAGTTCTCGATTTGCTGCTGCAGCTCAGCTTCGAAGCAGATGGGGATGGGGGTCGGGGTCACCACTTGGATCTCCATGCCCCCAGTGGCTGGGACGGGGGCCTCTGGGGCCAGGCAACCAGAAGCAAAAGCAGCGGAAGGAAGGACGGACGAGGTGAGGGGGTGCTGTGGCGCATCGCTGCAGAGACGCGACTTCTCAAGCAAGACGGCAGGGTGGCTAAAGTGGCCTGCGCGCTGCTGCCACTGACGCAAGAGACGGCTGCATGCACGAGTGCGGGCACCTGGGTACTTCCCTGCTGCTGTACCTCAGCGCCCTTCTGAAAAAAAAAAG